ACATGCCTCTCGCGTCGTTGATCCGCACGACAAAGGGCTTTATCCCTCGGTCATCGCCGCCCACGATGAGCCGAGCGAAAACAACAGCAACGCGAGCCATACCGGCTAGCGGCGAGGATGGCGGCATGGCTTTGGCTGCGCCTGCGTTCGGCGTGTTCAGGGTAAAAGACCCGTCGGCTTCCATCGTCGCAGTCGTCTCCAGATTGCGGGCGTCGAGGCCATGGCCGACCTCTGTCAACATGAATTCTCCGCAAGCCTTGAAGGCGAGAAGTTCCTCGAGGGTGGCCATGAGGTCAGGTCGCTCACGCGAGAATCTGGCAATCGTTCCGACACACAAGTTGAGGTGAATCGTTGCGATGACGAAAGCTGTCATGTCCCGAGAAGAAATGGCTGGCAGGTAGTAGTTGAGCATGATTGATGCACGACAGATATGGAAGAGAACGTACGATCGAAGTGGAAATCCCAAAACCTTGGGGTCAGCTCAGCAATGTCATCGACTGTGAGGCCTGGGTGATGTTAGCATGACGGAGTTCGGTTGGATGATGTGCGTATTGGCGAGGCGCACCTCGGCTTAGGCAAAGAGCCTTGGCTCGTTCATAGTGCAGCGGTATGTTTGTAATCGATGGCTCGTGGCGGCTGTCCCTTCTCGCATCCCAGACTTCGTCGACCAAAAGCGACGTGTCGAAGTCCATGGCGAAGGAGCTGATATCCGAGATGACGTTGGAGGAGAAGGTGTAACGTAGCTGGGGGCTAGCCCAATAGCAAGGACACGTGCGAAGGGAAACCTGGAGAGACAACTTGATCCCGAGTTCGGCAGTGGTGATGTCAGGGGGTTTTGTGTCTCGAGGAATGAACCCGCCTTTTGTATCAGTCATCCGCTGTGCCGCTCCGTCCATAGTTATAGTCTTGTTATTCGGGCGAGAAGGATACACGTCACAAAAGGCTCCTTATCACGTGGGTTTTTGGACTCAACTTCAGCCTGCCAGCTTGCCTCCCCACGTCCGAATCGAAGCAGCGGCTATACTGGGCGCAGAGCAACTATCGGCTTTATGTCTAAGCACGGTTGAAAAGTGACCTTAGGATCCTGTTTCTGTTTTGTCTTGATTCACCCATGGTCACAGCTCACCTCTGCCGTGCGATATATATCACATACATACTTCAGAACTGGTCTGACAGCCATGAGAGATAGCGTGAACCGCGGTGCATACATCCTCTCCATTCTTCTCCTATACCTTGATTGCGGCTTGTTTACCCCAGTACCCCAGCCTGCAACGATAACCATGAGCATCACGAGATCCGTTGAATACTGTCACAGACTTCGACAGCTGGCCGCGGATCAGCTGCGAGCCGTCACAGAGTATACTATTCGAGGTCATATGGGCCCCGAGCAGGAACTCGCCTTGCAGTTAGAAATCCTCAGAATAGCCACGAACATACAGCGAATGATGCCGTCATTGGTCGATCAGGAGGGATAGGGCCGCATTATTGCCGATCAAGCTGTGTCTTCCCTGTTGCAGGCGTCTGATGATATAGCCTCAATACGCGGCAGTTACGGGGAGAGAGTTTAGCGGCGGCAAGCTCCACGTACCTGGCTGTCAGGTAAGGATGATCCGCTGCGTGAGAACACGACCGTTTTGCTCACGACAGTAGTAGCCGACGCACTCTCCACAATGGAGTCACAGAAGTGGAACGCATGACGCTATCGTTAGGAGTTGGCAGAACCGAGAATGGGTTTTCCGTCATCGTTTACATAGCATATCCCACATTTCAAGCTTCCTCAGTCGATCAAGAACAAAAGACCTAAGACCTGAACAGGAACACGACATCTCTCACATCATGCAATCAAACGTGATCTAGTGTCAGACGGTATCATATGTCATGTCACGTTCTGGGGCCCCTCCTGTCATGAGGTCTTCGGACAGACGCGTCTTGACTATTTCCTACAGTACATAGTTTATAATTCAGTGCTTGTTTGTGCTACGCTAAGCTGGGATGCTAGCTCACCCGATCTCACGACCACTCTCATAACACCATTCGAGCTGACACGATCACAATCAATGCCGTTTCTATGATTACGTACCAGAAGTCAGTTAATAGGTTACCAGTCAAGACTGCATGTGTAGACCTGAGGCACGCGGTAGGCCAGAAACATGCCCGCCGCCATGCCAGATCCACCTTTCCGGATACTGTCGCGAGGCCCC